ACAGGCATGTGCCACCATGCTTGGCATAAAATTGTTTTTAACTCTGGAGGAAGGAACAGAAGTATAAAGAGGAAAACAAAGTCATTCAATCTGTAGGATATTTCCAAATTCCATTAATGCCATTGAATGTGCATGCTTCTAATGTGGTAACAGATTAGTGTTTCCTCCATTCAAAGTAAACAGCCCCAGTGTGGCTCCAGATAGGTTGTTTTTGACATTGTTCTTAGCTCAGTGCCCTTGAAGCTCTCAACAGTGGGGTCAGGTGTAGCTGCTGCTCCTGGGCCTGCATCCCTCACCCCTCAGTGTGGTGTGCCCAGGCCTGCCTTCGCAGCAGGTCCTGCCCTGGGGGAGGCTCGGGATCCTTTGGTGTGGCACTTTGTTTTTATGTGGGTCTTGTAAGCATCACATCCCCCACAAGCTTTAGGGTGATGGTGCATGGGCCTGCAGAGAGGGAGCACCCATCAATGATGTTAGCCTCAGCACCTTATTCCTAAGGAAGCTGGACTTTGCTCAGTGGGGAGGAAACTTGTCTTGGTCTCCTCCCAGCTGCAGGGAGTGGCTGCCCTGGGCTCTGAGGAGGCATGGGGAGCCTCTTGCTGCATTTGGCCTGCATCTTCTACAGCAGACGTGATTGGGCTGGGTGTTGGGGCAGAGCCTGGGATCCCCTCGAGCTTGGCATCTGATATCCTGCCAGTGGGGGCACCATGCTTAGAGTGGGGAGGTTAGCCCCTGTTTTGCCTGCGTGGGCCCATCCAGGAGAAACCTTCCAAAGGGGTCTTGACAGTGCCTGAGAAGATGAGTGCCTTGGTCATTGTGTTCTCCCCCAGCTCCCAAGACCAGGATACTTGTCGGGTCGTACACCAGAGACCCTGGGCTGACCCTGGGCCTCTCCCTCTCACCCCACTAGTGTGGCTTTCTGAACACCCCGGGGGTCTGGAGCCTGGGGGAGACTTCCCTGGATGTCCACCTCTATCTTTGTCCCTCTGGGCATCCTGAAGTTACTTTCCTGTACTGCCCACCTCACTCCCTTCCAGCCTGCTTGCTTTTTTTGTCCCCAGGGTCAGGAAGCTTGCCCTTCCAGCCATGCTGCCCACCCTCTGGGAGCCCTGGGAGCTGGGTCCTGAGGCTCCCTGCCTGTCCTGGGCTGCTACCCTCCCTGTGGCCTCCTCCAGACACCCCTGCCTGGAGGCCTTCTCAGGCCCTACCTTGTAGGTACTCCCTGGGCTCCCTACAGGTACTGTGCTGTGAGACCGCCTGTGCGCTGCCTCTTGGGTTGCAGTCCCACTCCAGCCCTCCTCTTCAGGTCTACCATTTAAATTACCAGCCCACAGTAGATGCGCACCTTGTGTTTAGACCTGCCTGCTTGGGGCATGTGCTGGATACCTGCATGGAGGGCTGGAGTCAAGCTGGAGCTTTTCACCTGGCTTCTTGGTAGCCTTTAGCTGCCCACAGGCTCAAAAGGTATCATGGAGCCACTAGTGCCCTGTTGGTGTGGGAGTGGTCACATGTCTAGGAGTGCTCTGGGCTGGCAATTGCTGACTGGTGCTAGGCTGCCGAGGCTTGGGGGCTTCCATGGGGACATCTTCTGTGGCTGAAGCCTGGCTTTTGGAAGCCTGGGGATTATGCAGGCAAAGTGAAAGAAAAATCTATTGAGCACCCACAGTGGACAACAGGAGAGAAACAGACTTCGCAATACAAGTTTAATTCTAGGTGGTGAATTCAATTTCTGCAGTGGTGGTTGTGCGCCTCATTCAAGCCTGCACGGTTCTTAGTGGAGGACTGTTGCAGTTTCACCTCCTGCTGGGCGTGGGGCGGGGGGTGTCATCACCGCCACCTTCCAGACCAGTGGCAAGGAGGAGGAAGCATCTGGGTCGAAGTCCCAGGCTGGGCCATTTGGCTTGAGTTGCCTTGCTCTGACCAAGGGCAGAGGTGACCTGTAGAGCAGACCTGGCCTTCTGGAGGCCTGTTTGGCCCTGCCTTGGTTTTATGCCTTCATCTGTTTTTCACTGGGGTGAAGGTCAGGAGCTGGCCTATGACTGGCTCTCGGGTAAGTGCAAAGCTCAAGGGTGCCGGTCCACGGCTCCTGTGAGTCCTCGCTGGAGGTGAAGGACCAGGCCTGTGGCAATGTTGTTTTGTCCCCTGCCCCCAAGTGGGGGTCTATCTCTCCCTGTTCCCTACTGGCTGGAGTACAGCCCAGGGAGCCTGCGGCCTCCAGCTGAGCTCCTCCCTGGAATCTGTGAAGTCTGTGGTTAACAGATTGCATGTTGAGTCTTTGGCAGATTGAACTCAGAGCTTTGAAGTTTACCAGACCGGGGATTACTAGTCTTCAGGTATTTGCTGAGTGTGTGGCAGTCCCCTACCAGCCAGAGTTCTGTGTGACCAGTGCCCCCAGGGGCCCAGGCCCTCTGCTTTCCCTTCTAAGCACCTGTGCTTTTTTGTCTTTCTGTTCTACGGCCCATGATTTGGGGAGAAGAGAGGTGGTACAGTTCTTTCCTAAAAGATTTAATGGAAATGTTTTGTGAAGTTGTGTCCCTGCCTCAAGATCATGTAGAAGAGTTTGTGTGCACATGGCAAAGGTCACAGAAGTTTCCAAGGGTGGAGAAGAGTGTTAAAAAGTTTGCTCTGCATGGCTTTGGATTGTGTCATTTGTTACAAGCATTTTATTTCAGTACTAAGAATTGAATCCAGGGCCTTCACACTCTTTTTATTGTAAATTTTGAGGCAAGAACAAAATTTAAAAGCTGTTCATGCTAGATTTGAACTTGTACTCCTAGGCCTAAGCCTCCTGGTGCGCAGGGAACTGCAAGCAAGCACTATCTCTCCCACCTACTGGTGCTCGCATTTTAGGTTCAGATGTCTAGCAGAGGGCTGGGGAAATAGCTCAGTGGAATAAGTGTTTGCCTGGCAAATACAAGGTCCTGAGTTTGATCCCTGGCACCACCAAAAAAACAAAAAAACAAAAAAACACAGTGTCTAGCAGAACTTGGTCTAATTACACTAGGTAGTTTTCACAGTGGCTCCCTAGAATGCCATGCCACTCTTGCAGATCCCTCTCACTGGGCACTGGACAGGAAGTGCAGGAGGGGTGCATAGCATGGGCCTCCAGGGTGGAAGCTGTGTGTGCGTGCATGTGCACACCCATGCGCTCAAAGCCACCTGAGCAGCACCGGCCAGATGTTTCCCTTCCAGTGGTACAGTGGGCCAGGGCCAAAGGCGTCCTCTAGTAGAGAGCTCAGGAGAGTCCTCGGTCAGCTGGGGCTTCTGCCGGGATGGCCAGGACTTGGCAAGGGGCTGTTTTGGGGTTTCTTAGACTGAAGGCAGTAGAATTGCCACACAGTAGAATTGGTGCGAACCTGCACCCTGAGCCCCGTAGGTAACAGAAATAGAAGACACACTAGTATCAAACCAAGCAAGACACAAATGGAGTGGGTTTTAGTGGTATATTTAACCCAAAATATCATCATTCCAGCATGCAGTCAGCGGGTAGCACGATGGCGGATGTCATGCATTCCTTTTTTTCTAAGCCAAGTCTTCGGGATCTGGTGTAAACATTTTGCTTGTTGTCCTTGAGTTGCACAGCTGCCTTGTTACACTCAGTGCCTGGCCCCTTCTGGTCAGGAGAGGCTTGCCTGGCTGTGACTCCCTTCCCAGACTACAGGCAGTGGACACACATCTGGGGTAGGGCAGGGTGGGGGCAGGGAACCCAGACCCAGAGTTGGGCCAGTGGGGGATCCCTGAGCTCCCAGGGATTTTTTTTTTTTTAAATTTTGGCCTGGCAACCCTCAAAATTTCCAGGGTGCACTGGCTGACCATTATAGTGACCACGTGTTCCCCATGTACATAGGCCGGTGAGAAGAAAGAAGGGGCACCCTTCTGTGCCCACTTCCCTGGCGCCATGAGCCCTTGGGCCTTTAATGTTAGGGTGGCTGTTTTTAATCTTGGAGTCTCACCAGGATAAGAAGCTATAAAATAAAGGTGCACATAGCAACCAGATCGCCCACGTGCCACGTTCCTGTTATTAAGGTATCGTGCTAAGTGCTTCAACTTGTAATGAAAATATTGTGACTCGTAAGTGAAAATATTGTGACAAGTCAGAGAATTCGGGGTTGCTATGGAAACTTTCCCCACTCCTCTCCCTGGTCCCCTCCCCACCCCCCCATCCGCTGTGGCTACAGGCTGCTCTGTTCCCTTCCTTTCAGCGCATTTTGCTTCTCAGGCCTCCGTTCAGCGTTAGGGCAGGCGCGGGTCTCAGGCCTCCGCAGGAGGACTTGCGGCAAGGTTGCCTTCGAGTTCTGCCTTTCTTGCCTTTGAGGCTGCCTCTGAGAGAGCCATAATGGAGGGAAACACTTGCGTGCACTTGTGTGTGCGTGTGGTGAGGATAGTCAGGAGCTGTTCTGTGGCATGAGATGGCTGTTGGCCAGCAGCTCTGTTCTAGGCCTCACTTGGGGGCTGGTGAGTGAGGACACAGCCCTCCTGGAGCAATCCAGCCAGCTTTGCCTCTCCCAGACAGGTGGCTGCGCCCAGGGAGAGCTGGAAATAGGCTTTGACCTGGGTGTGTGGACATGGCCCCCCGGTGTCCAGCCCTCTCAGTGGCTCGGCTATGTGGCCTGCTGATCAGTTGGTGTCCCCAATGCCACAGGGCTAGGTCACTGGCAGGTGGAAACATCCTGCTGAGCCTTGCATGCCGAGAGCTGACCAAAGATGTTTACTAGAAAAAGAAGGAAAGAAAATTAACCATTTGGGAAAGTATATCTTGCTTAATTCTGTTTAAGGGCATCTTGATGGTCAGAAGGGACCCTTACAGCCTCGGCTGGCACTGTCTCTGGACAGGTTAGAAAGATGGTTTAGGCCCAGCATTTGGCCATAAAGGGCAGGAGGCCTAAGCCAGCCCCTGTGCCAGTCTGCCGGTGCAGATGTGGACCAGACCCTCTTTTGAGGGGCCTTCTGGTCATATCAGCCATGTCAAGGTGTGAGTGTAAGCCCTGTTCTTCCCATCCCAGGGCCCCCTGATGCAGATAGCCCTCTCTACCTGCCCTACAAGTCGTTGGTCTCCATGGTTGGAAGCATGGCATTCAATGAGGGTGAGGCCCAGCGGCTCATCGAGATCCTGTCGGAGAAGGCGGGCATCCTCCAGGACACCTGGCATAAGGTGGGTCTCCCCTGCCTTGGGCTGCACTGCAGCTTTTCCTCTGCCTCCCCCTGCAGTCCCACTTGCCCAGCCTTCCCCAGCTTGCCAGGCAGCAGAGAGAAGATCCAAAGCATCACTGCGGTTCCTTTCCAGGGGGTCCTGTGCTGCTATACCCCTCAGGTGCACGGTCACTTGCCACCCAAACTGGACACTGTCCAGGGCAGGGTGGGGCCTGGGTGGCACAGAAGCCGGGCCAAGTGAGTTTGTGACTGAGGCCCAGAGCGTGGAAGAGAAGGTCCAGGGAGCCTGTGACAAGTATAACACCCATCCCATTGCCCTAACACTGCTCCCAAAGTATAGTGTATGCACCCTCGCCTTTTCCTGACCTGGAATTTGGGGTGACTCTGCTGGAGAGTGGTGACCAGCCAAGCGCTAGTGGGCATTCTGAGAGTCAGGCTTGGGGCTGTCTCCGAGGCTGTGTGAGTCACCACCTCTTTGGTCCCAGCAGTGTGAGAGCATCTTGCTCACAGTGCGTAGGCTACACTGTCCCCAGAGCCTCCTCCCCAGCCTTGTTCCTGCCCTGTGGCCAGGGACTCCTAGTCCTTGGGCCTTGGCCCAGCAGGTGTGGAGACGCCATGACCCTGAAGGCCACTTGGGATTTCTACACACAAGGGCCTGTGCAACCCCAGCAGACTGGTGACCAGGCAGTGCCACCTCCTCATGTGTGTCTGATGGGGTGGGATGGCTGCCCTTAAAGCCTGGTCCTGGTTGGCAGGTGCATGGGCCTCTAGTCCCTCCTGGCTGCCGAGCTGCGGGCAGGTTGGGTGTTAATGTGGCTCCATGGTGTTTTAGGCCACTCAGAAGGGCGACCCTGTGGCAATCCTGAAACGCCAGCTGGAAGAGAAGGAAAAGCTGCTGGCCACGGAGCAAGAGGATGCAGCAGTGGCCAAGAGCAAACTGAGGGAACTCAACAAGGTACAGCCTGAGCCAGGAAGCCTCTCTCCCATCCCCAGGTCCCCCAACCCCAAGGGCACAGCTGCCCTTGGTTCCCCTCATATGCTCAGGGTAGGCTCTGGGGTAGAGATCTCTGTCTCACCTGGCTTGCTGTTCTCAAGCTCTGGGTGATGCAGCTAAAGCTATCTGCTACAGGGAGATCCCTGGAGAGGGCGTCCCTTCATGGTGGTTCTAAGAACACATGGGATCCAGGGCCTTAGTTGGTGATAGTGGGATGATCTGAGCAGGCTGTTGCTGGCCATCCCATAGTGGCAGGCCATCCTAGGACATCCCTAGGAAAGGGGCGCCCAGCTAATCCCTGGTTGTTTGCTTGAGAGAGATGGGGCTGGGGCAGAGCAACTGCTTCTGTCCCTGACCTGACAGCCATGGAGCAACGTGCAAAGACATACTGGCTGCTGGCTGGTGCAGTGGCAATTGGTAGCAGGTCCACACCACGTGGGCCCAGCCAGGGTCTTGGTTCAGGTGTGTCAGACCCCTGATGTATTGATGGGGTCTCTGCTGAGGTGCTCTAGTGCCCTGGTGACCCCTGCACAGGACATCCATGCCAGCCCGCCTCGCCCTCCCATGGGCACCTCCAGTTGCTCAGTGAGAATTGGAAGGAGACAGTTTGTTTTCCTGTCCTGACCTGGAAGGATGCCCTTGTGAGGCAGGGGTGAGAGATGGGCCTTTGGATGGTACATCCAGGAGCAGGACAGAAAAAAGACTGGCCTCGGGGTCTTCTGTCCCCTGGGCCTCTGTCTCCAATTTGGGACGTGGCTCCTCTGGCCTTCTCTGGAGCTGTCCAAGTTGTGGGTCTGGGCCTGGCTCCTGAGTGCTGGTCACCTCTCTCGGCCCCACATGTCTCCTGGGGCTCCATGGACTCGCCCCTCCGGGGGAAGATTCCAGAACTCCAGGCAACCCCAGTATAGAATTTACCCCTGGCAGTTTTCCCTTTGGCATGGGCCTTTGCTCTGAGTTGAAAAATATCATGTCCAGCCATGGGTGTGCAGCCTGAGGAGTGTTGGGTTCCTTGATTCTTCCCAAGCAGACCCTGAAGCTCTGCCACTGGGCCACAGTCCTCTTGCTCAAGTTTACATGCAGAGTGACACCTGCCACATCTCTGCGCCTGCGCCTCCCCACCCCCGCCATCTGCAGGCCCTTCCTGCTCTTCCTGGATGCTCCCCCTTCTCTCGGCCTCTTGTGTCCTTCCTGTGGCTGTCCAGTTACTTCTTAGCATATAAGACTCACTTTGGCCTCTTCCTTCATGAGATCTGTTCCTGTCCCACACAGAAGTCACTGCTGCAGTGAGGAGTCACCTACCAGCCCCTGGTCACTGGCCGGCTGAGCCTTGGAGAGCCACCCTTTGCATAGGCAGCCCCAGCTACCCTGGGGCTCTGTACTCAGTGAAGGACAGCAGCTTGGCCTTGCTTCCACCCTGTGCCCCTGTGTCAGTGCCATACTCCAGGCTCCAGGATGCCTTTCCCACTCCATCCTGCTTCCAGCCCAGCACTGCTTGGTTGGCTATCCTCTTGGAAGTGGGGACCCCATAGGAGACTGATAACTGATGGCCCTGTGCTTTGCTCTAGCACTGCCGACCATTCTCTCTCCAGGGAAAAGAGTTGGTTCCTCGTCCCTGGGATCTGCTCCCCACCACAAAAAAACAAAGCAAAAAAGAAAGAAAGAAAGAAAGAAAGAAAGAAAGAAAGAAAGAAAGAAAGAAAGAAAGAAAGAAAGAAAGAAAAGAAAGAAAAGAAAAAAAGAGGAAGTCCAGCTTTGGCTGCAAGAGCCCATAGGCTCATAGGCCAGAAGGGCCTGGCCAGCCCCTAGGGCCATTGTGGGGATGAGTCCAGAAGACTCTGCCAACCTCTGCAGGCCCCACAGGCCTCCCAGTCCTGGCCCGGGCTCGGCTCTGTAGCCTTGCTGCACCTGAGCTTGGGTTCTGAATCAGAGTGGCTGGGCCCCAGAGCCTAGGGGAAACGAGAGCTGAGCTTCAGGGGCACCATGGAAGAAGCCAGTTACCCCCTTAATGCGCAAGGCTAACACTGTCTCCAACAAGCCTAGGAACAGTGCTGGGAAGAAAGTGTGGCCAGAAAGCTGGGTATAGTGCCACACTCTAATCCTAGCTATCTTGGAGGCTGAGACTGGAAGATGACAAGTCTGGTCTGGGCAACTTAGCAAGACCCTGTCTCCAGATAAAATTAAAAGGGCTGAGGGTGCAGCTTAATAGTAGACCACTTGTCTAGCATGTGCGCGGTCCTGGGTTCCTCCCTGTAATCACAGAAAAACTAAGTGTGGCCAGAACCCAAAAGAAGGTGCCCAGAAAGAGCTGTTTGTGTGTGACGTGGTGCCACTGGTGGCCACATGGAGCCTTACCTGTCAGCCTGGACCAGAAACCTGGCTCCACTGGGGTCACACCCACCCCACTGGAAGTAAAGGAGCCTGCTCCTGACCTCCCTGTCTGGTACCACTCCAGGAGATGGCTGCAGAGAAGGCCAAGGCTGCAGCTGGGGAGGCCAAAGTGAAGAAGCAGCTGGTGGCGAGGGAACAGGAAATCACGGCTGTGCAGGCGCGCATGCAGGCCAGCTACCGAGAGCACGTGAAGGAGGTGCAGCAGCTGCAGGGCAAGGTGGGCACCGTGGCCTGGCTGGCAGATGGTTACATGGTGACTTAGTGAGACCTCATCTCAAGGTACAGAAAAGGGCTGGGGTGTAGCTCAGTGCAGAGACTGTGGGCTCAGTCTCCAGGGCTGCAAAAACCAGCCAGGCAGAAAGGCGTGGACTGCATTTTGCAGCAGAGAGCTCAGTGGTTGGCCCTGTGGGCCAGGCTTTTAGATTCTGTGAGGCTGGCGTGCTGCCACCTATTTCCTCCACGTGCAGCTGGAGATCCCTCAAAGCAAGAGGTCTAGACACCCTGGGGTTTCCCTAAGGTTCCGGGGCAGTGGCCTGTGTAGATTGAGCCTGTGCAGCTGCTGACACTGTGTCCCTATGTGGCTGCATGTCTTGAGGGACCATAGGGCTCATGGGGCAGAAAGTGAGCCTCCCTTGGGATAGGTAGGCTGTGGCTTGGGGCAGTTGTGCTTGGAGCGCAGAGAGTGCTAGCCTCCCATGGCACTGGTGTGCTGCTGGGCCAGGGGCACCTGGGCTGGCCCTGTGCCATCCATTAGCCTCCTGCTTTCTGGCTCCTGCAGCCTCCACATGGAAAAGGGCTGCTCCCTCTGTGAGCTGTGCTCTTGCTAGCTAATCTCAGCCCAGAACTCGGTTCTGCATGTGGCCGAGCCGCACTGACACCTCCTTGCAACTTCTTAGATCCGGACGCTGCAGGAGCAGCTGGAGAACGGCCCCAACACCCAGCTGGCCCGCCTGCAGCAGGAGAACTCTATCCTGCGGGATGCCCTGAACCAGGCCACCAGTCAGGTGGAGAGCAAGTAAGTGCCTGTCTGTGGCTCTCCCAAGATGCAGAGGGCGGAGATGTGGCTGGCATTATGAGCTAGCCCCGTGTGAGCACATGGCCACCTTTGTGTTCCCACTACCCCTGCATAGCTATGTTGCTTTCCATCTTCTATGCGGTTACTGGTGGTTGGCACAGCTCCTGTGGGGAGCAGGCCTCAGGGAGAGCCTGGGGCGTGATGTCCCTGCGATCAGGTGCCCTTGGCTCTGGCTGGTGCTTGCCTGTCACTTTGCTGATAGCCATTGTCACCTGGCCTTTCACAGCATCCAGGGCATCTTTGGAAGGCTTACTGTGGCCTGGAGCACCAAGGCTGAGTGTGGTCTGGGAGAGGCATCCGTGGGTGCCACAGGGCACATGGCGCACTCTGTTCTGTGTGCTGTGTTGGGGAAGTGTCTGCCAAACCACCCACCCCATGGCTGATGGTACAGGAGGGGCTTGGCCAGGTCCCCTTAGGCTGAACAGACAGGTGTCCCTGCTCCTGGCCTGCCTGCCCAAGGGTCAGGCTGTGACTATCCTGCAGGCAGAATGCAGAGCTGGCAAAGCTGCGGCAGGAGCTGGGAAAGGCCAGCAAGGAGCTGCTGGAGAAGGCAGAGGTGTCCCGGCAGGAGGAGCAGCAACGCAAGGCTCTGGAAGCCAAGGCAGCTGCCTTTGAGAAGCAGATGCTGCAGTTGCAGGTGAGCGTGTTAACGGGAGCTGTCACCTGTCAGCTGGGCTGATGGCTGGGTGCCAGCCGTGCTGCAGGATCTGTCCATGTTAGCTTTTTTTTTTTTTTTTTTTTTTTTTTTTTTTTTTTTTTTTTTTTTGAGATTGAGTCTTGCTATGTAGTTCAGGCTGTTCCCAAATGTAGTATGTAGCCCAGGTTGGCTTCAAACTCTCAATGATCCTCCTGTCTCAGCCTCCCAAGTTGGGTCCTCAAGCCTGGCAGCCTTAGCATTTTACAAGCTTGAGCTTTGCCCATTGTGACCCCATGAGGCAGCACTGTTTGGCACTGCTCATGTCTGCAGTTTGTGTGCCACACTGGTGTGCACCCACACATCACGGCTCTGCCTTGGATCTGCACACTTGCTGCAAACATGGCTTTGTGAGTCCCATAAGATGGAAAAGCGCTGAACCCTAGTGGCAAGGAGCATGGTATGTGGGTCCTGGGCTGCCAGTGAGGCGGGGTGCTGCAGCTTCTGAGCCTTCAGGGTGGACTCCCCCACGAGACCACCCCTAACCTCCCCTCTGGCGCAGGTGTCCCACAAGGAGAGTGAGGAGGCCCTGCAGAAGCGCCTGGATGAGCTCAGCCGGGAGCTGTGCCGTACTCAGAGCAGCCACGCCAGCCTGCGGGCTGACGCCGAGAAGGCCCAGGAGCAGCAGCAGCGGGCGGCAGGTGCGGGCCCGTCTGGTGGCCCTGGGGCAGTGCTACAAGGGTTGGATGCTCCTTGTCATCCTTCTTGGCTGCTGTCTATGTCTGGACTGACAGCAGTGCTTACCCACAAGGACAGGGTCACATAGCAGTGCCCTCTACACAAGGCATGACTCACAAAGAGACCCATAGAAAGGACATTTGGTCTGTGCCACAACTTCCCAGCTCTGCTGCATGGGCAGAACTAGCCACAGGCTAGGTGGGAAGAGACAGCCCTGGCAAGTTTCATGTATAAATGAGTTTGGGGGGCTGCCCCAGAGGGCCATGTGCGGCTGTGAACCCGGGCTCACTCTGAGGCAGGAGGGGTGTCAGCTGTGGTCAGGATGGTGGTAGGTAGACCTCTGAAGAGGCCAGCCCAACCTCGAGTGGAATGGTTATCTAGTGGCCACTGTGGCCCAGGGACAGGTCAGGTCCTCACGTGATGGGAAGGTGAGACCAGAGGGGCACAGTTGTGTTTCCGCAGCAGTATACCATGGTGCTGGGTGCAGAATGGGGATAGGCAGCCCAGGGCAGCAGGGCTTGGTGCCACCCCCCACAGGTCCTGAGGGGAGAGAGCTGGCATTGGTAGCTGAGGGAGCCCTGCACTTAGCAAAGGATGGCAGCCAGAGTTGTGGAGTTGTGGGCCTGGGGACTTTCCCCATCCCCTGGGGAGGACACGCCCCAAAGAAGGAGGGGCCACATCACTCCTGTCTCAGGAAGAGGAGCCAGTCTCAGAGAACGAAACTCTAGAGACTTCCACTGAAGTCCCTTGCAGTGGTCATATTCGCCACTGCTGCTGCCACCTGCACCTTCCCTGTGGGGCCCCAGGAGTATGCTGCCAGGGTGTAGCATTCTGCCACGGATGAGGTGTGATGTGTTGATACCTAGGGGGTAAGGGGGGTTGGTGTCGGAGGGAGGCAGCAGTATTCCCAGCAGCTCCAGCCCCTAGTCACCAGCTCTCTCCTGTGACAGAGCTGCGCGGCCAGCTGCAGGCCTCTGAGGCGGAGGTGAAGAGCAAGTGTGAGGAGCTGCGGGGGCTGCACAGCCAGCTCCAGGAGGCCCATGCAGAAAACGCCCAGCTGGCCGAGCGCATGCGCACCATTGAGGCCCTGCTGGAGGCGGGCCAGGCCCGGGATGCTCAGGTCAGCCCTTCCTCTGAGCAGAGGGTGGTGGGTGGTGGGAGAGCGTTCTTCCTGGACCGGCTGCTGTTTGCTGGGCTCTTCTGGGCACCCAGGCACTCTGTTTCTTCCAGGTCAGCCGAGCCGAGGCCGAGCAGCAGCAGACGCAGTAAGGCTCCCTCTGGGAAGATGTCCTCCTACTGTGTCTCTGGGACCAGAAGCAGGAGACAGGCTGGGCGGGAAGGATGTTGGCCTTACCAGGCTATGTGTGTCTCTGTTGCTGTGACAACACACCTGAAACCGGGCACTTCATAAGGAGAAGAGGGTTGTGTAGCATGTAGTTTGGGGTGGAAAGTCCCACCTCAGGCAGGGGCTGTCACTGTCAGCATGCTGGGCTGTCACTGGACAGGGTCCCAGCAAGAATGCAGGCCAGCTGCAAAGACCGCCCTCTGCTCACTCACATGGGCTTGCCTGTCCCTGTGCTGTTCCTTAGACGCAGCTTCCTGGGCCCTAGCATGGGCCCCAGTTGGCGTTGTGGTTTGGGGGCTGGGGAGAGAAAAGCTAGGACCCGGAACCCAGCCTCTTAGCCTTCCCTTCATGGCCATGGGCCCCGGGGACAGTGCGTGTGTGTTTGCGGGGCTCCTATATTCTGAATCACTGCTGGGTCACTGGGCTAATCATGTCCCGCTGCAGATAGGTTCTCATTTGTACCTCACATGGTTTATTTTCCCCTGCAGTGGTTTGCCTCCATCCTATTCTGGGTTGGAGGGCAGTGCTTCCCCCCACACCTAGGCCTGGCAGCAGCTGCCCCGGTGTAGCTATCAGTCCCTGGCACCACCCTGCAGACCCTTTTCTGGGGCTATGAGGCTGGAGAGAATGCTGTGTAATGTGGACTATGTAGGGACTGCAGGGAGAGGCTAGGTTCCCATGGGGCTTTGAGGGTGGTCAGGGTTCTGTGTGAGGGTCAGCAAGGCCAGCTGCAAGCTGGTACCCAGGACCAAATGCAGGGCCGTGTGGGCTAGGTCCACACCTATCAGGCCAGGCAGCGCGGCCTGCAGGGTTGGCCCATACCAACACTGGCCAGTGCCCATGTGCGTTAGGGGTACACCTGGGCATTCTCTTTTCACCTGGCCAGGCTGATGGCAACTTCCTGCTGGTTCAGGCCAGCACTGGCCACTTCGGGGCTAGAGAGGCCATGTGTCCCTTGTCCTGAATCTTAATATAGAGGGAGCATTTCACTGCAGTTTTTCCAAGCTTGTGCCTGGAACAGTTCTGTAGCATCAGTGCCACTTCCAGTGGTGAGGGGGTCTGAAGGTCCTGGGTTCTTGCATCAAGAAGGGTTGCAGGGACAGGCCTGACATCTCGCCAGGGGTAGGGGAGGGCCAGCAGACTGTCTAGGGGACACAACAGGACCAGGCGGTGGCTGTCTTCACAGAAAGCAATCGAGACTGCCTTGTCACCCTGTGCTTGCTGTGGCTGCTGGGGGCCTCGGGGAGGCTGGGTGGCGGGGGCTGTCCAAGAGCTTGCGCTGGGTAGGAGAGTAGGGGAAGGGACTCCATACAGACTCAGCCAGGCCCTGGCCTCTCTGTGTTCCTTAGTCTCAAGGAGCTGGAGTTGCAGGTGTCGCATCTGGAGAAGGAGGCCACCGAGCTCCGGGAGGCCATGGAGCAGCAGAAAGGGAAGAATAACGTGAGTGCGGACAGGGCCAGGCAGGGCCCAGCACAGGACAGGCGAAGTCTTCTCTGCCCCCCACCCTCACTGTCACTGGGTCTCAGTGTGTGGGTGCCACCCTTCTCCCTGTATCCCAGGACCACCGGTGTCTGCTGCTGTTGTGTGCACAAGTGCCTTCCTGGCCTGGTGCCACAGTATGCTGCTTGGCTGTGCCTAGGCGCATGGTTACCCTGAGCAGGTGACAGGCCACCTGTGTCGTGCTGCCCTTGTGCTGCTTGCCTCTACCCTCAGTCTTCCCACGCAGGTGGCCAGTGCCCTGTGCTGAGTGAAGGGGTGCGCTGCATGCCAGGGAAAGGGTTGCGTCCCTCGTAGTGCTGGCTGGGCCCTGTGGGCGTTTGAGCACTGTCTTCTCCCCCAGGACCTCCGGGAGAAGAACTGGAAGGCCATGGAGGCACTGGCCTTTGCCGAGAGGACCTGCGCTGAGAAGCTGCAGACGCTGACACAGGCCAAGGTGAGAGCCCTGCCTCTGGCTGAGGGTCCTGGGCCCCTACCCTCCTTCTGCTCCCCAGTGTTCCCTCGGGGAAAAGGTAGGGAGGTAGCCATGCTGTTAGCGTCCTTGCTGGATCCTGGTCCCAGGGCAGGGGAGGTGGAGTTGCTCTTGTCCTGTGCTTTCTCAGCATCTGGGCCCAGAATCATCATGCAGAGGTCCTTTGTGGAAGGCTGTTCTTTCTGACACTTTCACAAAGCAATATCTGTCCCTTAGGACCTGAGGGACAGTATAAAGACCCTGAGAAAGGCAGGACACAAGGCTGGCCATGGCATGCTGTCAGCACTGTCACTGCAGACAGGCTGTAAGGAGAGCTGTCACTTGCCTGCCTGTGGTCACCTGGGTAGATGAGGATGGAAGTTTGATTTGGCTGAGTGGTGGGTATGAGGCAGGGGTCTCAGTGGGTGATGGGCAGCAAGGAGGCCAGGCCAGGCTGTGTGGCAGACTAGTGTCCCCCATTGACTGAATCCTGTACTCCCCACTGGTGCAAGTCCCCAGTGACACTAGGTGTTGTAGCAGATAACCAGAGAAGGTGAATCTTAGTGGAAGGGGAAATCCCTGTAGTGACCCCAGACCCATGCAGTCTCCAGGGAACACTGCACCCTAGGCTTTGCCTTAGGTCCTGTTTTGGTGTTCTGAGTGGGGCCACAGGCTCTTCCTGAGGGTGGAGGGGCCCCAGTCTTGTGCAGCATGGGCAGCAGGCCCTGTCTTCTCTGCCACAGTGAGCTGCCAGTCTTCTCCCTCCCATGGAATGGGGTAAATCCCCTCAGGGCTCCTATTCCTACCCCGTACTGGTCCTGACTTCATTGCCATGGGCCATGGCTGTTCCTTACCTCTTCCCACTGGACCCTCGAAAGCCCAGCTTTCACTTGGGTCTGGGTCCTGGCCCTAAAGAGCTCAAGATGTGGCCCCACCTGGGAGGCTGAGCACTGTTCCCCACTCCCAGGAGGACTCTGAGAAGCAGCTGCACCTGGTGAAGGCGCAGACCAAGGAGGCCCTACAGGCGCTGCTCCCTGAGCTCTCCATCTCAGCACATCAGGTAGGCAGGCGATGCCTGGGACCCTGCTTTCCCCTCCCCCTGGCCCACTGTGGGTCTGCAGCTCACCACATGTTTCCTTGCAGAGCTATGCCGAGTGGCTTCAGGAGCTCAGAGAAAGAGGCCCTGAGCTGCTGAAGACCTTGTCAGCCACCTCAGAGCCCCCTCAGGTAAGCTGGCTGCAGCAGCCCCGGTTAGCTATGAGCTCTGCTGGTCCAGGTGGAGCTCTTGGTGATCTGGGCAGCAGGGAGAGAACTGCATAGGACTGACCAGAAACTGTCCCCCTCTGCTCACAGGACGTGGTCTCCAAGCTGCGGGAGGCTGAGGAGGCCCAGAGCAGCCTGCAGACTGAGTGTGACCAGTACCGCTCCATCCTGGCTGAAACGGTGAGCAGTGAAGGGCACTACGGGTCTTCTGGAGCTGGAGAGCCCCTGGCTCAGTGACCCAGGCAGAGGAAGGCTTTCCAAGGCCCACTGGGAGAAAGGGACTGTGATGCACAGGGCTCTGAGGGTCCGTGGTGGCTAAGTGAGGAGAGGACAGAGGCCTGAGGGCGGTCAGGGCTGCCCTCTGTCCGGAGGAGACTCGGCAAAAGGAAGACGTCCCGGGCAGGAGCAGAAGCTGCTGGGGTGTCGATGCAGTCAGCGCTGGGGCCTATGCCCACCATACCAGAATCTCCAGTCTTGCCTCGTTCAGGTCACAGGCCCCATCTCTAGTGTGCCCTGCAGTGGCTCTGCCCACATCTGCCTGGCACAATGGTGTCTCAGAGCTGGTGCCACAGGTGGTGACAGGAACTTGCTGACGGGGCCCCGCCTGAGTGTTGCTATCCTGCAGGAGGGCATGCTCAAGGACCTGCAGAAGAGTGTGGAGGAGGAGGAGCAGGTGTGGAAGGCCAAGGTGGGCGCCAAGGAGGAGGAGCTGCATAAGGTAGGCAGCCTGGGCCCCATGTGATACATGTCACGGCCGTTATCAACACCTACACCCCCAGGTCAGAGTGGCAGCCATAGCCCGTCCCCCAATCCTGTGTCACTTGCAGCCGCCCCAGGAAGGGCTGCAGTGCACCTGCCCATGTGAGAGGGCTGGGCAGTGCTGGGCCCAGCACAGGGCTGGTCCTGGGAGATGCCCCCAGCTTCTGTGCGTGACAGGGTCTTGCCTTTGCTCTGCAGTCACGGCTAACAGTGAAGCAACTTGAAGACACCATAGAAAAGCTCAAAGGAGAACTTGAAAGTTCAGATCAGGTACGAAGGACCTGTGCTGTGAGCTGCTGTTCTTGTCACGTGAGCCCATGAAAGTGACATGGTCATGGAGCCACCTAAGTTAGCTCCCTCGTGATCCCAGCCTCAGTGAGGCTGCTCTGTCCCTTCTTGCTGTAACATGCAGTGCTTGCCACTGCAGTGGCCCGAGGCACAGCAGACCTGTGCAGCCTCACCTGGCCCTGGCCCTGATGTCATGGTGACGGGGCTCGTGGGGCCTCCCTAGGTGTGTGCACCTGGGGGCTGCCCTGTGCTGGACTGGGGTCTGTGAGTGAGGTGGGCAACAGTGCTGGGGAGAGCGTCCAGCTGGCTGACCTGAGGCTGATGTGTCCCACAGGTGCGGAAGCACACCTCGCACCTGGAGGCCGAGCTGGAGAAGCACATGGCTACCGCCAGTGCTGAGTGTCAGAGCTACGCCAAGGAGGTGGCAGGGGTGAGGCCCATTGCCCTGGACCTGTAGACATTTGAGCCTCTTCTCTCGGGAGTGAACTGAAATCCAGTCCTGTCCTGTAAGGGACAGAGAACTGAGCCCACATCTGCTCTCCTCACTGAGTTTCTAGCTTTGGGCTTTTAATAAGGTGTGGCAGACAGGTGTCTGGGGTGTCCTGGCCCTGGGTGGGTGTCCCCGGAAGGGGCTCTGTGGCAGTAGGGAGCCACTGATCTGCTGTGGAGCATGCGTGGGTGAGGCTGCATTGGCACTACCTCTAGACCTGCTTTCTCCTCTCTCCTTGTTCTCAGCTGAGGCAGCTGCTGTTAGATTCTCAGTCTCAGCTGGATGCCACGAAGGGTGAGGCCCAGAAGCAGAGCCAGGAGCTCGCCTTGGTAGGTGGGCTGCGCTTGGGGGGGGGGGGCGGCAAGTTTGCCAGTTAGTTTTGCCATCTACTCAGATCTTACACTCAGGAGCTGGTTTGCCTGTGGCTGCCAGGAGCATGGTGCCCACATCCTGTCCCCCTCCATCCCTGGCCTTGCAGCCTCCTGGAGGTGGGAACACTGGAGGGCATCCCTTTGATGGTGCTATCAGCAGTGCAGGATAGCACTGAGTCCTTTGGGTGCTGAAGACAGTGCTGGGGAGACCCTGTGTGCCGGGCCAGGCTGAACCGCTCCCTGGAGGCACCATGTGTGTGATGGGCAGCCTGCTCCGAGTCCTGGCTCTTGTGTGCCAGGGGGTCATCCGGTCAGCCCTCCACAAGGCCCCTGCTAGGCCTAGGCTGAGGATCTTGGCAGGGTGGGGATGGGGGGAGCGTTGGCTAAGACCTGCAACACTGGCCTTTGGGAAGCAATGATAGTGTGCCAGAGGGCAGACATCCCTCAGGTTGTCGCTAGTCAGGGGGCACGGGCTGGGTCTAGTGATAGACTGGGTGAATGCGGACACACACATACACATACACACCCCAGCATGTCTTGATCTCCTCAGGGATGCACTGTGGCTTTGCCATGGGGACAGTGGGAAAGAAGGCTGTTGGGGTCACTAGTAGTAAGGCCTAGAATGGAACCTGTGGTCTATGAGGTAGGGTGGTTACCTCCTGATGGGCCCTGGATATCAGGAAGGGTCCTAGCAGTGGGTTGCATTCCTAGGGACTTGTGGGCTGTCACAGTGCCACTCTGCATGCACTGTCATTCAGCCACCTCTCAAGGTCTGGGTCCTGCCATGGGAAGCAGAATGTGCATCTCAGCAACTCAGGGCTGTGGTGCTGCTTGTTGCGGCTCCTCATTCAGAGCAGGGAGAACCCGAGTACTCCCTCAAAAGGGTGTCCTGGGCCAGGGGCACAGGCTGCTTGGCCACCTGTGGATTTGTACAAACCTGTCACTTGCTGTTTCAGGTCAGACGGCAGTTGAGTGAGATGAAGAGCCGCGTGTCGGATGGTGACGTGGCTGGGTCCCCAGGAGTTTCCTCAGCTGGGCAAGATGCTGTGAAGGTGAGAGTGTGGCTGGGCTTCTCGCCTGTCCCTGTCAGCCAGGGTGGGGGCGGCATAGGAAGGCACTGGTGTTCCTGCCCTGGCTGGCCTGCCTGGCAGCTCCAGAGCTCACTTGGGTGCCTCCCTGCGAGCCCCTTGCTTCCTGTGGTGAGGAAGGCAGGGGAGCAGCTAGGAAGTGGCCCTGTGTCAGTGCCCACGTCACGTGCTTGGTGTTTTTACAGCTGCAAGCACAGCTGGAACAGACAGAGCTCGCCCTGGAGGAGGAGCAGGTGCAGAGGCGGAAGCTCTTGGCTGAGTTGGAGGAGGTCAGGCCCTGCCCTACAGCGCCGGGAACCCCTGGGAGCCCTTAGCTTCGGGCTCCGGGCCCTAGGGAGTGAGCGGGCGGTGGGTCTGTATGACCTGGGTGGTCCTGGTGGCCCTAGACTCCCAGCCTCCTGGCCAGGTCAGGCTCACAGGATCTGACTGCCCACTGCCTTGCAGTTACGGAACACGGCGAGCCGGCTACAGGAAGAGCTGGAGACGCTGCGCTCCACTGGCCCGCTGTCATCTGTGGGCACTGAGGAAGTTGCACAGCTCAAGGTAAAGCAGGCTGGGCCTGGTCAGCCTAGGGCTCTGGGGAAAGGAGAACGGACTGGCCCGGCCCCTATTTCCCGGTGTCCAGTGGGAGGGAGCATCGCCCCACAGCAGTAGGCTGTGCCCTGTCCCCTGCCCGGCACCCCTCACATGCTCCATCCCTGCAGGACGATGGCAGCGGCCTGAAGGAGGGCACCTCTGTCTGAGCCTCCGCAGAGAAGTTACTGTTCCTCTTACCAAAATGCCTTACACATTCCTCACAAATGAACCAACGACACAGCGTTCGTGAATCAGGCCCAACTTCCAGAAGCTCCGAGAGAAGCCGTCGGAGATGATCATCTTCCAGACCCCGCTGCACAAAACCCTGTCACATGTGGAAACACTATTCTCGGAGCGGCCCGGCCAACTGCACGGACGCCAGTGCACCTGTGAACCTGACACATGGGTGTGGGAGGCCGGGGTGCCATGACGCCAGCCAGTGCAATTGTCGAGTCTCCTCAGCAGGGCGGGGCTGGCACAGTAGGCAGGGCGTCCTGGGAGGCCACGGCCCTTCCCCGGGTCACCACACAGCACGTGACCTCCTGGATGTTGATGCCATTAAAACGTGTTGCCCGGCACTGGGTCTCATGTCTGCTGTTGGGATGGCATGGGGGTGGTGGGGCAGCACAGTGCAGGTCTTGTTTCTCAGAAGCTGGGGGGCCTGTGGCACCTTCTTGTCTGGGTGTTTGTCACTTGTCAGGCAGAGAAGAGCGCAGAGCCTGTGACACTGAGCCTCCAGTGGAGATCCTGAGAGCGGAGTGGGGTTGGTCCATGCAGTGCAGTTAGGGAACTGTAGGAGAGAGCAGGGGTCACTGTCCTCTACCCAGGATGGGGAGACCCAGGGTCACCCCCCCCCCACTCTGCCAAAGCGGAAGCCACCTCAGATCTGGAAACTTCAGACACAGCCCTGGGACAGGGTGGAAGGGGAATGTGGGCCAGAGATGGGACTACTGCTTCAAGTTTGAGCCTGGGACAAGGACAGCTCCAGAGCATGGTGCCTGGTCCAGCAGGTGGTGCCCAGGGCTCTTTGAGCAAATGCGGGTCCATGTCCCCATGCAGCCTCCAGGTGCTGGGCAGAATGCTGGTCATACTGGGCTGGGAGAGCTCCTGAAGACAACGACCTAAGGGGTAGCTGGGCAGCGTGGCAAGGTTAGGGTCCAGGGTGGTGGGTGACTCCTGTGGGTCAGCTGACGGCCTTTGAAGCTGTGTGGAATGTGTTCCCCTGCTACCACTACAGCTTGTGTGCACTGGGGCCTGTGTGCCACTTCAGGTACAGTGGTCAAGGGCAAGGTGGTCTTATGCTAGAGTACACTGGGAGATTAGATCTCTTGGAGTGGCAGGGAGGGGACAGCAAGCCAAGTAGGAGAGGCACGGTCACACCTGTTCAGTAACTCACTAGACCATGGGTAGGGGATGTTTTCATTGTAGTCTTAAGGGCAAGCAGGAAAGGGGCAGGGAGGCTGAGGCTGCAATGCTGGTTTAGCTTGGCCCAGGGGCTTTGGAGATGGACTCCCCTGGGGGTGCAAGACTGCGTGGCAACCTGGACAGATGAACTTACTTCCTGAGGGTACAGGAGTCTGCATAGGACCTACAGGGACCCAGAGCCTGCAGATGGTTCCAGGAAGGTGGGGTACAGCACAGGGCTCCTCTGCACAGTGACCACACCCAAGGTCAGTGGTCTAGGGTGGCTGGGACTAGGGAGGGGATACCAGGGCCCCTACTGAATGGCCATCTTGGGGCTGAGCCCTGTGCTGCAGCAGAAAGCACAGCATCTGCTCAGAGACCCTGGCAGCATTGGGTCACTGAACTGTTAGCTCTGCTAGAAGCAACAGCCCAATGGTGGTAGGGAGGTGACACGGGGTCCCCAGGACAAGGCCACTCTGGACTGTCCTGTTGACCTCCCAAGCTGCCCAGTAGCCCTGGAGCCCAGCCAGCAGAGGCTCAGCTCAGCAGCCAAGCTACTTAAACATCCCCTGCAAAACCCAGAGGAGGGGCCGGGGAGATAGCTCAGTGGAATAAGCACTTGCCTGGAAAGGACCTGAGTTCAATCCCCAGTTCTGCAAAAGAACAGCTGAGTCCCAGCTGTTGGTGGTCACTGGGAAGAGGCCCAGTTCATGTGGTCACACAGCTTCCCTCCACACACCCAGTTTCAAGCTCTCCTAGGTCATGGTCCCAGGGTAAATATCCTCAAAGGGCAGCATGCTGTCCCTCACAGCCTGGGAGAAGTCAGGGATGGCAGTGAGGCTGTGGGCGAAGCAAGGCAGACGGCTTCAGGGCACTCCTTGGTGCTGCTCATCCCCTGAAGTTGTACCATGGCACTGAGCGAGGCTGACCTCCAAATCCAGATGTTAGACTCCAGCTAAATAGTCTGGGGTGCTAACAGCTCAGGACTGGGAACCTAGAAACCAGTCTGTGGGCTGACTGCCCACACCACCTGTCACCCTGAACCTGGTACCAGTCCTGCACCCACCCACAGGTGTGCATAAGGCCACAGCCTGTCCACAGGGAGAGGATGCATTGCCTGTGTCAGCTAGGAAGGGACCAATGGACTAACCATCCCACTATCCCATTTATGTTTGCACAGACTGAACTGGCTGTGCTTTGTGGGGGCACAAGGGTAGCCACCAGATGAATCCCCCAGCAGCTCCCAACTTGTGTTTCCATAACATGCCAGCCTCAGAATACAGAAATGCACACACCATGCTGCTTGGGTCATGCACAGGGGCTGCTGGCACAGTGCCTGGGCCCCAGCCCTGGTGTCTGTTGAGAGCTGGAGGCAACCTTCAATACCCCCCACTTCCAGAGGAAGAGAGGTACAGAAACTGGCTCAGTGTGGAATGACCCTGAGTGGGGCTCCTGCTGGGCGGGGCCCCGCCAGGAGAGGCTGTGGAGCCTCCTCCGGATGGGAGAAGGGCAAGTGGCCAGCCAGTCTTGAAAGGCACTTCAGTGAAAGCGTGACCTTGTTTGCCTCCCAAAGTCTAGCCTTAGGTTAAACATTGCTTCTTTGAACTAGAGAAGGCCAAGATCCTGTGAGAACTCCCAGAGCCCCCTTGTGGAGGGCAAAACCCTCCATCCCAAATGACACGTGAATAATGACACCAGAGAGAAGTTAAAAATGCTTCCTTTATTACATAAAGCCAGTAACTGCTACTTTTAAGATCAGCTGTGCACTTCTCTTGTTCAAGCGTCATGCCTGTGGTGGTAAGGGCAATCACATCCACATGTCACTGGGCACAGCTCCCCACTCCACACAAGTGACAGACTGCTCTAGGAAACAAAGCTCTCCCAGACCCCAGAGGAGACACTCAGGTTCCTGCCATCACATGCACTGGGTGTGCAGCTCGGAGGGAGCCACGGGTGCGCAGTGTCCTAGCCTACCTAGGCAGTGATTATTTTCACTAGAAAGCTGACTACAGCGAGCCCTAATTTGCATTAGATTAGACATCCCATCTCCTGAAGCCACGCCACCACGCAAGGTGACAGCCCATAGCTCTGAGGACAGCCATGCCCTCCCGTGCTACACCCCTGGAGGGGGCTTCACAAGATCAGTGGGAGTCACAGGGGTGCGACTCTGAGCCAGGCTCCTGTGCGTGGCAGGGAGGGCTAGAGGCTGCCCAGGGCTTGCGGCTGCTAGCAGTTAGTGTACTGTTAGAGAACATCCCATTGTTTGGGTCAAGGAAGAATTCTGGGCCAAAATTGTAACCAGATTGTAATCAATTTTCTAAGCAAAAGAAACATTAACTGTTGAGGTTAAGGAAAGACAGAACCATTCTCTTCAAATGGCCACTACTCTGTTTTGTGAACTATTATTAAAAATCCTGAGCTTAACAAAAGTCTTTGTAAGTCAACTCATCAAAACAGGCATTTGGCCAGCAAGAATTTCATTTCACACCAATTACACTTTGGATGCTAGGTTTATTTAGGGCCGCATTTGCACAGGTTTATAGAATATTTATTCTAAGATGACAAGACAGCTCCCCTCAGGGAGACCCTGGCGTAAATGCATCTGCTTTACTTATTGAGCAAGAGGGTAACATTAACACGGAAGCTTTCGGCTGTGGCACTGGAACGACGCTACACGGGGCAACCTTCAAAGGCTACAATCAAGGACCCACCCAGCTTTTCAGCAATGCAAGCCCGGTTGAGGTCTTCTGGCCCATTTGCTTGACATTCGTGTTTTATGCCTGAGAGGAAAAACAACAGTCCTATTTAGAATTATGGCAGCACCGTCCCTGTTTCTTTGTAACACCTATTTGTTTTTAAAGCTCACTTTCATGCACAAACTGTAAAAAATACTACACAGAAATGAGGAATATTAATCAGAAATATTAAGCATGCATCAAACTGGATGCCACTCACAAACATGATACTGACTGCAACGAGAGAAGCATCCATTCTGCACGAGTCCACCTGCGTCTCCCACGTGTGCATACACGCACACATATGTGCCCTGCTGGGTAAACGCTCCCTGAATGCAGGGGGCGGGGGGCGCAACAATGCTCGATGCTCGGGCTGTCAGCACTCAGGGAGCATCTGTGATTCAGGTGGCACGCTTTTGTGAGGACGTGTTATACTTCAATAAAAACAAGTCAAAAAGGCAGGTCTAGTAGTAATGTTTTCTTGGTTTGATGGGCTAGCTGGTTTAGACAACTACACTTGACATAGCCAGCTCTCTGGTGCTGGGATACTACCTGTGTGAGAATTGTCACAGAACTGCAGTGTGGCACTGGTAGCTTTCTTCGTAACAGCACCAGCTGGCACCACATGAGGGGCACAGTGCCTTCAACTAGCTGGCTCTGGGCCACCCTGTGAGGACCGTGTCCCTGGCTCCCAGGCACAAGACCCAGTGGGGAACCTGGATGGTTTCACCAGAGAATAGACAACCTGGCATCACTCAGGAACCCTCTGGAGTAAGGACAAGAAGCATACTCTGACTCTTGCCGTTGCTGTTGATGCTGACACTGAGGGGTCATCTGACTGGGGACAGGCCAGTAACTTGCTTCTGGGGAGGCCCCACATACACAAAGGCCTGACCAGGGACATAGCCACACAGCAGCTACTGGCACAGAAAGCAAGAACAGGATGGAGAGACACAACTGGCTACTCTGTGACCCTGGCCACATGGGCAGCAGGCAGCACACACTCTGCCATGGTCACAGGGGTCAGGCAAGCAGGGCCATGGTCAGGGCTTGGCTCACACCTCATGCTCAGCCACCGTACCAAGGATTCCTCCTGGCTGTCCATGCACGCCACCCTGTTGAGACAAGGCCCTGTTGGCCAGTCAGTGTGACCAGCCAGTTTGGGCCACAAGCACCTTCCTCTGGCACAGATGAATCCACGACCTAAAACCACGCCGTCCAGGGTGAAGCTGGAGGAACGCATCCTTCCTTCCCACTCAGGACGCCTTCTTCTTGCAACCTGGCTACATCACTACATTCAGAGGCATCAAAAAGGGATGCTAAGCCACCAAGGCCCCGGGCTCAGCCCACTGCACAGGATGCTATGCCTAAACCAGCCAGTGCAGTGGGGGCCCAGGCTTGGCAGAGTGGCTCAGCCTCAGGTGCTCCCACAGAGCAAGCCCTGTTTCCTTTTCCTTGTGCTCAAAGCTGTTCTCCCCTGAAAATGAGGCTCTTTCTGGGGTCCCTTCACCCCTAAGGGTGAAGTCGTGCACATACCTTGGAACTTCTTTTTGATGGCATCCTTGGAGCTGGCGTAGATCATCTTACTCTTCAGAGGGGCCAGTTCTGGAGCCCTGAACAGAAGGAGGCCAAGAATGAGCAAACTGGCTGAGGATGGACAGCTTGATCTCAAGAGTGAGCTGTGGAGGAGCCTCCGTGTCCCAGACAGTGTGTCTGTTCCACCTCTTCTGACAGCTGGCAGTGCTACGAGTGCCACAAGGAAAAGAGCGCCACCGATAAAGAAAGAGAGCACCACTGAGTCAACATCAGATGAATGTGGCTGAGTATGTGGCATGTGCCTGTAAGCCTGGCAGTATGGGAGGCTGGGGCAGGAGAGAAGAATGCCAAGTTCAAGTCTAGCTGAAAACTTCACAAGACTCTATCTTAAAATAAAAAGGGGCTGGAGATGTAGCTCACTATGAAGGTCTTGGGTTCAATCCCCAGTGCTGCCAAAAAAGAAAAAAAGCTCAGTGAAAACTTCTGAGCATTTGCCAGTTCCATTTGGCAGGTCTCTGGTGTGTGGTGCTTACTGTACCCACTCTGCCCCAGGAGCAAAGGTGCTACCCGGGGCTCCAGGACACCGCAGGTCTGTGTCTCATGCTGACTCCTTCCAGCAGGGCAAAGCTTCCCCGGGCTTGGGAACACAGGATGCTTCTCTTACAGAGAACCAGGACAGGGCCTGAGCTTACCTGCACCAGGTGAAGAGCCACACTCTACATCCTGCACAGCGTTGCTGGGTGTTCTGGTCTGTCTCTGGATGCCATCCTTAAAGCCTCACAGTCATGGGAGGGGCTTTGCAGAGATGGCTGAATCTACAGTTTGTGACTGATGGTCCAGTGCTGGGATTAAGGGTGCGCGTGCTACACTAGGGCAGGCAGCCTGCATACAGCCGAAGGGATGCAAAGAGGTTTGCTCCCCTCTCCTCTCTGCTGTCTTCTGCCACTATGGTTGCCCTCTGCCATGCCAGCTTGCCTTAGAACCAGACAATTATGGACTGAAACTTCTATACCTTGTGAAATAAAGTACACTTTCACATTGGGTGCCATGTATTTTGTCTCCGCAGCAAGAGAAAAGTAAATCTGTAATACAGTTTTATATTTTCCTGAAATAAGGAACACTGTAAAATAAACTGCTGCGCTTATATTGGAGTTTCTTTCTTATTTTCAAAATGTTTTTTAATAAAAATGTCTAGCTTTCTTTTTTTTTTAATTTTTATTTATTTATTTATTTATTTATTTATTTATTTGTGTGTGTGTGTGTGTGTGTGTGTGGCCAGCTCAGCCCACCAGGGGGCAGGGCTGGCTGGCATGTGGTGCTGGGGGATTGAACCGCAGTCCCTGTGCTTTGCTAAGTTTGTTCTAAGTAGGTGCTTTAGACCACTGAGCCATCTCACCAGCCCCATGTCTAGCTTTCATAGTTAAAAAATACATTAAGAACCAGAAAAAAACCTGCAAACGACATTCCATCGAGAAGCCCATACCTAGCTGGCCTTGGGAGCAGGGGCTCCACTTGTCTCACAGCTTGACGCCTGGTGTACCTTCATCCAAATCACAACAGCATGAGTGGGGGTAAGTGGCACTACTGGCTCCAGCTCCAGCCAGCCTCAGGTGACAGCTGCCCCCAAACTCAGGCATGTGTACCTGGCGGCACCATGCTGATTCAGGCCAGGAAGGCTTGGGTGCTACATAGACATGCAACATCTGGCCTGACCTTCCTGTGAGTCCCATACTCCCATCCTGCCTGATTCACCCCCTTGCACCCTAAACCAACAATGGTGAACCTATTAGAGCTCTCAATGACACAAACAGTTCATTGCAGCATGTATGCTGTGGGTTTGCCACCACTGCCCCACACTACCTGCAGCACCCGGCTAAGGGCTATGGCTTCCCAGCTTGCGTCAAAGACCAAGAAAAGGGGCCGGGGAGATGGCTCAGTGGAATAAGCACTTCCCTGGCAAGCGCAAGGGCCTGAGTTCAACCCCCAGTTCCGCAAAAAAAAAAAAAAAAAAAAAAAGACCAAGAGAAAAAACTATATCCTCCAAAAATCTGAAGGCTCTCCTACTTCCCCTTCCCCTAAGAAGCTGGAGAACATTCTCACTGGTCATACAGTACAGTGTAGTTAAAAAACAAGAGACACAAGTGTGAGGGCTTTTAGAAATTAAAAGACAGTCTGCATCAGCAGACTGGCCCTGAACTCATGGGCTTCCTATCTCAACCTCTCAAGTAGCTGGGATTACAGGAGCCAGCTCATGTGACTGTTATCTAAAGCTTAATCTCCAATATTTTTGTACTTGAAAAGGCTAGAATAATTAATATAAATAGCTCTTTGCTAGAAAGGTCCCAGGGCCTCATGCATATCAGGCAAGCATCTGCCACTGAGCTACACTGACAGCGTTCCTAATTGTTCTGCTCTCCATGGACACGTGGCGTGTGGCCTGCAGCCCAGTCTGCTCACCTTGTCCTTTAAAAAAATTTTTTTGGTAATCATTTATTTATTTATTTGGTACAGGGTCTCACTACACAGTTTGGACTCATAGAGATCCTGTCTCAACCTCCCCAGTGCTGGGATTACAGGTGTGTGCCACCATACCTGGTCTCAGTGGCTGGCTTGATGTGCCCAGGGCAGGGCCCGCACAGCATGCAATACTGGGGAATTGAACCTGAGTCCTTGTGCTTGCCAGGCAGGCGCGTAGACTGCCGCATTATTTCCCTACCCCCCTCTCCTTTTAATGTACACATCACACTATGGTACAGAATGCTTGCATATGTTCCTGTAGCACGTGCACATATGTATCACACTTCAGATCTTTACGTAAGCTCACACTCACTATATTCTCAGTCCTGGGAAGCCATGCCTGAGAGCTAGGGTGGCCCAGAGTTTCCTGCACTGGTAGGAACATTCTCTATCCATGCAGCCCATAAAGGTGGCTGCTAAGCACTTGAAATGTGGTGACTCAAAATATAATATTTTTCACTAACTGAAGTATATGTATCCTGGGGCTCCCTATAGCATGTGCTAAAAGGAACACAGCGCTGAGGCCTTTGCAGAGCGGGAGGTGGGCGCTGGGTAGTAGGGTTGTGAGGTCCCAAGTGGGTGTGTGGAGGAGGAAGAACATTATGCTTTTGTGCTGTGGAGCCACAGATCCACAGTGGTTGGATCTAGGGTCTATGATGCTAGGATTAAGGCGAAGAGAGTCTGCCCCTACCCACTGAAATATTACATCCATTAATAAAGACTGTTCTCTGAAGTAGACAAAGTGAGGTTCAAATTGTGTTTTTGGCCTAGTCAATGCCTCATGACACAGTTTGACTAAAAATCACTCTGGTCTTAGAACCAGTTGTCAGGTGCTGCCAGTGAGATTAACTGAGATTTTTTTTTTTTATTTTTTTTATTTTTTTTTGTGTGTGTGTGTGTGTGTGTGTGTGTGTGTGTGTGTGTGTGGCCAGCTCAGCCCACCAGGGGGCGGGGCTGGCTGGCATGTGGTGCTGGGGGATTGAACCGCAGTCCCTGTGCTTTGCTAAGTTTGTTCTAAGTAGGTGCTTTAGACCACTGAGCCATCTCACCAGCCCCTAAATCCAGAAGGTGTTTTTTTTTTTTTTTTTGGTGGCTCCAGATTGCCCCCTGCTGCTCTGGATTGCCTTGAGTATCTGGGAATCGAACCACTGCTCCCAGAGACTGACTGCTTCCTTTAAGCAGGCACTTAAACAACTGAACTAATGGGCGGGCCCCCGATTAACTGAGATTTACACAAGGTCAGCATGGTGGTTTGCACTGAGATGTCCTCTCAACGCTTCTTTTGGGGGTGGTTGGATCTAGGGTCTATGATGCTAGGATTAAGGGTGCCCAACCCTGGGTGTGAGAGCTGCCCACTCAAGGGCAGGTGGCCTGGATGGAATATAAAGGACAGAAAGAGGTCACTTTGCTCTTTTGCTGCTGCCTGCCTCCCCTGCTTTGCCATAAATTGTCACTCTTCTGCCATGCCACCTTGCCCTGGAACTGCAAACCTCCACAGACTGAGCTACATAAATCTCTTCTTCAACTCTGGGTGTGGGGTATTTTGTCCTAGCAACAAGGAAGTAACTGAAATGCTCACTGTTCCTCCTATGCTTACCACAAAAAGAACATCAGCTCTTCTTTCCTGGACTCCTTAGTCTCGAAGCTTGCATCATACAAAGCATAGCGACAATCCTTTTCAGGAAGCATCCCCACGAAGTGCTTGAAGGGATCGGTGATAGTCACACCCACATCTCCAACCAAGATCTCTTTGCCTTCTTCAACAATGATGCACTTTTTGTCTGCACTGAGACAAAAAATGACAGCCTTCTTTCTTTTCTTTATTTCCTCTGGTGTGGAGCATTTCCGAACTTTCATATCATAAAAAATGCGACATACTTCATCAGCAACTTGTACTCCTGAGGCCTACAGTGAGAATAAGGAAGAGGCTTACAACTGTTTCATGCCAAATCCACATGCCACTTGGCTTCCGATGACAAGCTAGCACAGAAATCTTTTTAGGTGTACTTATGGCCCAGTAAGAAAGCTAAAAATACCGAAATGTAATCACTAATGATTCAGACATGGAACCTTGTCTGAAATTTAACACACCTTCATCTCCACCTCGTGGTGTGATGGGAGACTCATACCAGCTCTGAGGGCTGAAACCTGAAAGGGTGCTCTGAGGCACCCCACCTGCTCTCACACAGGGTTCTCAGGGCTGGACCAGAGTGCCTGCCTTCCCTTACTGTGCACCAGGGACAGAGATGCCTAAAATTCCTTTCACAACACACAGTAGATTGTTGGAACTGCTAAACTTAAACACAATGCCATTTCTACAGCATTTCTTTCTTTAATAAGAAAAAAATCTACCTGCAGAGGTCTTTGTTCTACTCACATTTTAAAATGACAAATATTCACCAATGTATCAGTCCTTTCTACCAAAACTCCACTGAGGGCTGAGGGTGTGTGTGGCTCAGAGCACTGCCTGGTGCACCCAAGGCTGTGGTTCAACATACGGCACCACACCCTCCCCCAACTCAGACAACCTCCAAGTTTTAAATTAACCTTAGAATAAATATGTTTACTGCTGATAAGGAAAAAGATAGTTCAATAAGACTATACTGACCAGAACAATTACCTTTTACCATTCTGGGATGACAAACAGTTAAGCAAGATCTCGATAACAAAAGATCTTAAAACCAGTTTTTAACTTTTCCACCCCCTTTATAGAGTATGTTATTTACATTACCTGTAGTATAATGGAATTTTTATACTTCATTAACTAATTTGGTTCACATTAGCTTTTCAAAGTTACGAAAGAGTTAAACACCAAACAATGTAAAAATGTTGACACCAAGATTATTAATGCTTAAAATAATTTAAGAAATAAAGATGCATGTGAAATGAAGACAACTCACAGAACTTATTTAGAAACTGTATAGGAACTTGTAGTCAGAACATAGACAGAAGAAACCTAACAATTCAATAATAGAAAAAGACAACCTAAATAAAAAATAATCAACAGTTGTGCATAGATATTTCTTCCAAAGGATGGAAAAATTGCTCAACACCAACAGTCACTAGGGAAATGCAAAACAAGGCCACAGTGAGATCCCACTTGACACCTACTAGGCTGGCTTAAGGGAACAGCAAAAGTTGGCCACGTGGGAGCCTATAGCCCTGATACTAAGGACTGGCAAAAGGCAGCTGCTCTGGCAGCTTGGTGGCTCCTTAAACAGCTAGACAAAGTTAAGTCATCTAAGAATTCTACTCCTGGATCTGTAAAAAGAGGATGCAAATGTGTCCACAAAACTGTACCCCAATGTTCTCAGAAGCATTATCAGTAACAGATCTTAAATGGCAACAGTCCTGGTCCACTAGTGAAGAAACTTCAAACTTGTAGTGACCTCATATGGTAGATTACTGCCAGGCTATGAAAAACCAAGGGCTCCATGTGGGCTGCAGCATGATGAACCAGTCCTCCAACACATGGCGCTAAGCGGGAGAAGACAGACAGAAAGGCCACATGCACCTGTGTCTATTTCTATGGAATGTCACCAAAGTCAAATCCATACAACAAGCAGTGCTTTCCATGTGCTGATGGAGAGGGAGACGGGGAGGAACAGCTAATGGACTTAGGTTTCTACTCAAGACTCTTGACTATACTGAAAAATTATGGAATTCTACTTTTTATCATGTGAGTTCCAGCTAAATAA